ACCTATATGCGTAGCTCATTTGATCATCCATTGTTGGCAGGATGAATTACGTGGAAGCCGAAGCGATGAAAAAGCCTGTCGCCTACCTAAACCCGTGCAGGATAAGTAAGCTGAACCACACATACATGCTAGACGAGAAGAAGCTACCGGAACACATCAAGGCGATGACTCCCGAAGAGAGGAAAGCTTACATAGCACAAAAGCATCTTGAAAAGATGCTCGATGTCGCTACGTACGTAGCTATTGCGCTTGAATCTACGCAGGACAAGGAGTGTGTTTATGCCCCATATGCCTTTGAGTAAGTTGTAATATATATGCACTAAGAGTATATACATATAATCATGGCTCGACTAACAATTCCGTTTGCAGCGACCATTGGATAGAATCTTTCTTCTCTATCCAAAGTACAATGAAGTCATCGTCTTGGATTCTCTCGACATAGATAGCAACACCTATCAGGAATTTCTAAGAATTATCGATCTGTAAGTAAGATATTAGCATGACGTGTTTTAACCTCTGATGAACGTAAATTATTTATATCCGCAAAACAGTGCATTTAAAAGGTATTACCAACGAGGTGGACAACGCAAAAACTCAAGAGAACGCATATCCGTCCGCAATAAGTGGCCGGTAAGTACATATATATGGATGTCACACAGTACTACTTAATTTTCATAAATGCTTGTGTGTTTCCATGTAATAACCTATTATACCTTATAATTATTTTGATGTTGAAAGTGTCACAAGCAACCGGTGGGAACAACACTATGCGGATATTACTGTTGTGAGTTCCTAAGGGTTAATGGGAAATATTGTGCAAATTACGACGAGGTAAGTAATACACACTTGTTAAATTAGTCGCTAACTTGTATTATTGTGAATAGTTAATTTCCTTAATTCTGTCATGATGATCTGATGTAGCTTCCAAAATTCCCCAAGTCTGAAAGAGACCTCAATGATACATCCATTCAGAACATTCAGGTGGACATGTGCTACTTCATCCACCGTAAGTGCGCACATCAGCTTGGGCAGTTTTTCGACAACGAAGGAGTCTTAGCCCTGCCAGAGAACGAATCCCTGTCTAACTGGACCAGACGTATAATATAGCTAGGGTTTTGTAATTCATTCAAAATACTTGTAAATGTTATGTCGTCGGTCGAATTTAATTTGTCAATGTACATATATGTAGGTGCTTCCGAATATTTATATATACGTATATTATTCTGCTTCATATATACTCAATGCGTGGCTCTAAAATATGCGAAAGAGAACATACTCTGTCGATAGCTCGATTAGTTATATCAACCACGTCTAACTCTGAAATACGCGCACGAAGAAAAGAAAAAATAGTATATATAATAATGTTCTAATTTTTTTTTAAAAAATTGCATCTTCACTGGCGGGCCACGTGTCAGAACTAGGACGGTCCATATCTTCGCTGTCGGGCCACGTGTCCATCCACAGAAGCCTTACTTCATTTTTCCTAGCGTGCCACGTGGCCTAAAATACTGTGAGCCGCCAGCAAAGAATTATCTTCGCTGGCGGCCGACCTAAGGCTAACGCAAGTGGAGATACTTCTTTGCTGGCGGCTGTGTTATGTCCACCGCCAGCAAAGACATGTCTTCGCTGGCGGCCGTCCTAATGCTACCGCCAGCGAAGACATCTCTTTGCTGGCGGGCGTTCTTTTCTCGGCCGCCAGCGAAGATGCATTTTGGCTGGCGGTAAATAACCGCTAGCGAAAATCGATATTTTCACTGGCCTTTGCTTTCTGGCGGCTGCGATTTCTGCCAGCGGAAACCCAAAATGGCCGCCACGAAAGATGGTTTTCGTAGTAGTGTCTGTGGCCATTTAACAAATTTGGATGATTGGATTAGCAAGAGTAACAGGGTTATTGCAATGTTTGGTAGCTCAAACTTTCCCAAGCTTCAACTATAAATGATCAGCATAGTAAAAGTATCCAGCTAGTTGATTGACGTAGAATCCACAATTTAGGTTGCATTAAGGTCAACAAAGCATGTTTTCTAAAAATGACGGAGTTTTGTTTTCCCGTTAGCTTGGGATCATAAAATCGTTAGCGACTGCGATGATAGAACTTCATCAAGGATGAAAGTAGGGATGCAAGTGGGTAGTTCCGCTACCTGTATAAAAACCAGCTTGCTAGTGTATTTCTCGTATGGTAGTTCAAAATTTAGAAGAAAAAATAAACTAGAAGTGGGATAAGCCGGAAAAAAAAAACCTGCTTGCCCGTCCCGCTTGCATCCCTAGATGAAAGGTTCATCTTTGAGCTATGGCTGATAATAAGTCGCATAAAAACAAACAAACTACAAAAAATTAATTTATAGATACGAATTAGTAGTGATTGGAATCTAATATTGAAAAAAATAGACTATAATGAAAAACAACAAAATCAACTTTAAAATTGAAATCTTGATTGTGATTGATAAGTGAACAAACAGGCAATGAGAGCATATGCCGCAAAAAAGAACCTAAGCTTGTATTGATAAGTTGATGTTGTTGTGTGAAAGGCAGTGTTTCACACGCCAATTAACGAAAAGTTTTAATTTTGCACAAAACTACACATTTACCAACGACATGTTGGCCACATAAGCGCCACTTGTTTTTATTGCACAAAATCTCCGTGAAATGTTGAATGGTTATAATCACGGGTAATGCAATTAGCTGTTTTGAATAACATCGTGTCAAAGATGATGAAAACAAGATGCGATTTCAACAGGCGAGGTTTTGTAAGATATTTATAGCATAAAACGTGGTGTCAACGTTACATATGGACAAGACATATTTTTCTTGTAAAAAAACTCAGTACATAGATACTATTTTACAGCTCAGTCATAAAATTTTCTATCATCATTCATCAAATTACCTGTTGAAGTTGAAATTCGTTGGAAATCTAAAATTTACACAAACTCTCATGAGAATTAGAGAATTTAAATTGGAAATTAAAAAGTGATAGGTGGCTACAAAAGGAAAACATTACAAAAGCTGCCCCCCCCCCCCCCCCCCGGAAAAAAAATCTTTTTACCTTGATCCCTAAGAAGGCATTTATAAACAGGAGATGGGTTGCTAATATTCATGTGGGGCTATCGGTCTAGGTTTTTTTTTTTACTTGGCCATTTGGGATGGTAGAACCACCCTTTTTTCAATTTGGTAGAAGAGGTGGTTCTGATACAAGATGTTCAAGATCAGCATGTTTGAAAGCTCGTAATTGATGGTATATACATGTGTAAATCTACCTATGAAGCTTATTTCCTGGGATCAATCAAGTTTGCTCCTTGGAACGTATTTGGAAGAGTTGGGCTCCTCTTTGGTGCAAGTTATTCAATTGGTTGGCTATTAATAATAGATGTTGGACATCTGATCAAGAATCCAACACATTCTGATCTCCTGTGTTTTTTCTCGCGCCAAGCGTGGACAGCACTCTTCTTGAGATTGGGGTTATCTGATATGGCGCCTCAACCTTCAACTGATCATTTTCTGAGATGGTGGAGCCAAGCTACTGAAGATTGGAAAATAGAGCAAGTAATTAAAACACATGATTAATTAATTATTAATTATCATAAATTTGAAAATTGGGTTCATTTGAATTTTTAAGGAATTTTTATATAAAAACTTTTTTCAAAAAATACATCGTTTAACAGTTTGGAAAACGTGTTAACGGAAAACGAGGGTCTTAATCGTTTTTTGTGCGCACGCTTCTCAATCTACTAAACGATGTAATTCTTATAAAATTACAAAATTTGTTTAAAAAATCATATTAATTTATTTTTATTTTCTTTAATTAATACTTTAATAACAACTAGGTGGCCCACGCAGATTGCGCGGCTAGCACCATTATATTTTCTCTCATACAATAGCATATATGTTTTCTCATTATATTATTTAAATATATTAAAATGACAACATAATTTTAAATTTTGCAATAACTTTATAAAACTACTAATGTGTAATATTCATATTATATTTTATATACGTGTTAGTTATTAATTATTTTTAATATAAAATTTTAGTTATTTGTAAATTATATATATTCCTATATGTACTCTAGACTCATCTTTTAATATTTCTTTTTTTTAATTCCGAATTTTCTGTAAATTGTATTTCTAAATAGACTCTATGTTCTTCTTCCAATATTATTTATTTTTATTTCTGAATTTTTATTATTTCTAATTGTATTTCTATGTGGACTCTAAACTCATCTTTCAATATTCTTTAATTTTTAATTTCGAATTCCAGTTACTTCTAAATTGTATTCCTATATTGACTTTAAACTCTTATTCCCATGTTTTTCTTAATTTTAAATTTTAGTTATTTGTAAATTGTATTTTTATACGGACTCTAAACTCTACTTTTAATTTTATTATATTTATTCCAAATTTTAGTTAGTTTTAAATTCCTATATGGACTCTATACTCAACTTCTAATATTCCTTATTTTTTATTCCGAATTTCTATTTTTTTCTTAATTATATTTCTATATGTACTCTGTACTCTGCTTCTATTCCTTATTTTTAATTCCAAATTTCTATTATTTCCTAATTGTATTTCTATATGGACTCTATACTCTACTTTTAATATTCCTTATTTTTAATTCCGAATTTCAGTTATTTCCTAATTGTATTTCTATATGGACTCTAGTCTCCTCTTCTAATATTCCTTATTTTTTAATTCTGAATTTAAACTATTTATAAATTGTATTTCTATGTGGAGTCTAGTCTCCTCTTCTAATATTCCTTATTTTTTAATTCTGAATTTCAACTATTTCTAAATTGTATTTCTATATGGACTCTGTTTTTTCTTTTTCTCCGATTAATGTAAGAGTTTCTAGGCCATGAGAGCGAACGTGGAGACTCGTTTTTCTATTCCTTTAATAATAATATAATAGATAATATGGTAATGAGCTACCTCAACCAACACTATCGAAGACACCGAGGGCCGAGGCTGCGGTGCGGTGCGGCGCGGCGCACTTGGGTAGTCACCGGCTGAGGCTGAACGCAACGCAAACGCAAGCAATCCAATTCTTCCGCACAGCGACTCCTCGTTGGATTCCCACCACCTCCTCTCCTCTCCTCTCCTCTCCTTCTTCCTCTTCCCCTGCACTGCACTGCCACTGCATTAATCCCCTTCACCGATTCCTCCTCTCCTCTCCTCCACCTCCACCTCCACCGCACGCACCAAACCGCAGTTTCTCTCTCTCTCCCTTTCGCTGTTCCTGTGTGCCTTGCTTAGCTGCCGCTTTCCTCTCTCCCTCCCTCTCTTTCTTTCTTCCTCTCTCTGCTCAACCTCACAAAAATTCCCCCCTTTTGCTCTTTCTCTTTCTTTCCTCCCCGATCGACTTCTTCTTCTTCTTCACCTTCTCCAGTTCTCCTCATCCGTCTTCGGCGATCTTTGCCGCTGTAAGTTAGTTACTTCTTGATTAAGCTCTGTTTGTACTCATGAAGCGTGGAATGTTCTTTCTTTTTTATTCATGTCTTGTCAGGTTCTCTTGGCTTCTTTGCAGTGTGAGTACTTTTATTTTGTTTCATTTTTCCTCTTCTTTTTTTTCTTTTTCTTTTTCTCCCTACCAAGATACTTCAGTAATCTTTAGCAGAGGGGTTGCTTGGCAATTCGGTTTGCATGCAATTGCCGTGATACTCCAGAGTGGGGACTCTCTTCTCTGAATTCCCCTTTTTTTTTCTTTTTCCCTTTTTCCACACACCCGTGACTGTAAAGCTTCTGTCTTTCAATCAACTGCTGTAGCATGTAGGGTGCTAGTTGCATCTTTAGATGCAGAGGATAGAACCTGTTCTTCCATTCTCTTGCAGTAGTGGTAGCATCCACTTTGCAGAGATGAAAGAAAGATCATCTGCTTCTTGTGTCCTGAATACTCCCTTTTGTTTTCTTCTCTATAGCATCTTGTCAGTAGCAGCATTGGTTTATAATGACATCGATTTAGGATTTCAAGGAAATGGTTGATCGAGGCTTTGTCACGTCACCTGCATTTTTTCTGTCCATGGGACTGCTCTACCTCTCACGATAAAGTTGCTCTCAACTTTTTTTTTCCACACTGTGGAACTGACTGGTCCAACTAAACACTCATGCTGAGCAAATGCATGCACCTTTATCCATTTGGAGGCCTGTAGGCTTAATTGGAGTAAGAAAATCGCTTTTAAAAGGAGAAATGCTCACAAACTTTTTCGTTTTTGGAAAATTTGTCTTATATACAGTGAGTTCAGTTGTCTTATATAGCGTTATAAGATGATTTCTGTTACAATTTTCGTGCTATTTTGTTGTGTGGTAATTCTCTTCATCTCTGATTATATGTAGTACTATTTAACAGTCTGGAGTTATTCTTAAAGAAAATCAATAAGCTCACAGTTTTTTTTAAATGTCCAGAAGATAAAGATTCCATTCACACAAAAAAAAAATCTATCTTTCACATACAACTGTGATTATTCCCTTCTTTATGTTCATTGAAATATTTAATTCTTTCTACTTCTAAGGGGTTTTGTGATAAGGTTGTAAATGATGCTCCTGGCTTGGTGCTGTCACTATCAGAATTCTTCTGCATGTCGTTTTGAACTTGTCCAGTAGTTTTGTAGTGCACATTCATGTCAGTTCTAGAGGCCAATGACTTAGACCTGTTTCTGGCATTAGTACTTTTCCTTTTGTGCGTTATCTTGTCTTGGATGTAGCCTAGAGTTCTACCATATTTCTAGAACTTGGACATATATATCAGTTTCTGTCAAAACAATTTTGGGTCAGTGTTTTGTTTTTCAAATCTGATGGTGATGAATGTTTGTACCCAAATACTTGTTTCAGAACTTCTATAGATATCTATTATGTTAAATTTTGATCGAGACTGATTTTGCATCCATTCAGTTGACAGTACAATTAAATTTAATCTTTCCATGTCGGTTTTTATCCTCTGAAAATTCTCTAGTATAGCAGTTGCATGCTTTATTATGTCACCTCTCTGCCTTATGTCATACACACAAAAAAGAGGAGAGTTGCTGTTACTATTGTCAAAGGATGATTGGATCAAAGAATGTCTATTTATCTCCTTTATTTTCCTATATCCGTAATGTCGTGGTTGCACTTTTCTCTTCAAAGTGTTGCTTGTAATACTTTTGTGAACTAGATTTTTAAAATAATCCATCTGACAGTAGGTCGGTTATAAGTTATTCTCTAGCTATAACTGACTTCTCTTTTTTAAAAAAAAATTCAGGTGAACATTTGACAGTTTACAGGTTCCTCCATTTCAGTTGTTGGATTAAGAAAGAGGCTTTATGCTTTATAAATAAGTAAGCATCATCATCAATATAAGTTGTGGCTGCTCTTAAAGATCCTCAGATTCTGTACAAGTTCAGAGCTTCCTCTGTTTGGCAGTGTCAGTACACGTGCTTGCATAGTTCATAACTGGGGTGGAGATATCTTAGTTTCATGTTCTTTGTGCTTCTTGGCTCTTACCCAGCTGGTTTAACATCTGATGGGCTGCTCACCTTCTAAGGTGTGTTCATGTCCACATTATAAGGGCAGTTTGTGCTTCTGTGACTGTGGATGCTTTGGACAAACACCTGACTCCCCAAGAGAGTCAAGGGGAAAATCAAACCGGGTTAGGGGAAAGACAGATTCTAGTGCTTCAGATGCTTCTTCTGATGACCTAGAGGAAGATGATGATGGATTGCACCAAATGAACATTACAAGGGACTCTAATGTTGGTATCAATCGACTCTCAAGGGTCTCATCACAATTTCTTCCACCAGAAGGTTCACGTAAAGTTCGAATCCCATTGGGGAATTATGACCTGAGATATTCCTACTTGTCTCAAAGAGGCTACTACCCAGAATCATTGGACAAGCCAAACCAAGACAGTTTTTGTATACATACTCCATTTGGAACAAGCCCTGATGACCATTTCTTTGGTGTATTTGATGGCCATGGAGAATATGGAGCTCAGTGCTCACAATTTGTAAAGCGAAGACTATGCGAAAACCTGCTCAGAGATGACCGGTTCCGTACTGATGTTGTTCAGGCTCTTCATTCTGCTTTCTTGGCAACAAATTCACAGCTTCATGCAGACAGCTTAGATGATTCTATGAGTGGTACTACTGCAGTCACTGTGCTGGTGAGGGGTAAAACTATTTACATTGCGAATACGGGTGATTCACGTGCTGTTATTGCCGAAAAAAGAGGGGAAGATGTTGTTGCTGTTGACCTGTCCATAGATCAAACACCCTACAGGACTGATGAGCTTGAAAGGGTCAAGGAGTGTGGTGCTAGGGTTATGACGTTGGATCAGATAGAGGGGCTAAAGAACCCAGATGTACAGTGTTGGGGCACCGAGGAAAGTGATGACGGTGATCCTCCAAGGTTGTGGGTGCAAAATGGCATGTATCCAGGAACTGCTTTTACTCGCAGCATTGGAGATTCTGTCGCTGAATCTATCGGTGTTGTCGCTAATCCTGAGATTTTTATCCTGGAGCTCAATGCCAACCATCCATTCTTTGTTCTTGCTAGTGATGGAGTTTTTGAGTTTCTTTCTAGTCAAACTGTTGTCGACATGGTATGTTCTATCTACCTTCTGCATAAGTTGCAATTATGTTCTGAGATCCTAAAGTGATTCCCTTCAGTACTAGAGATACAGAGATTCCCCCACAGTATCAGAATTCAGTTCTCAATAATCATTTACTTTGAAACAGTAGGGAAGGCCCCCCTAATATTCTGCGTGCATTTTAATTCATCGATTTCCCTTTTCCACTGTACCAATTTGTTGGCTAAGATTTCCCCACAATGTTTATCAAAATTAATCAACTTCTTTATTAAAGAGCCCAAACAATTCTATTAACTATTTTTCAGATAATTTTAGATTTGTGAAATGAATTGTTTTATTTACTTCTTACAGTAATGAATTTGCAGATTGCTAAATACAAGGATCCTCGTGATGCGTGCGCTGCAATTGTTGCTGAATCCTATCGCCTCTGGCTACAGTATGAAACTCGTACAGATGACATTACAATAATAGTTGTTCATATTAACGGGTTAACTGATGTATGGAATTTTCATCTTTTACTTATATTACTTCCACTGCACTGGTTTCATTTGGTTCCATGAATAATCCTCATTCTTTTACTAGATGGAATGTACTCAAACTGTAATGAAAGTATCTTTACAACCTTCCCAACAAGTCGTAGAATTGGTAGGCTCAGAATCACCATCGACAATAAGTTTGAATCCCAAGAACCAGCGTTCCAGGCAAGATCTATCACGTGCTCGGCTGAGAGCACTTGAAAGTTCCCTGGAAAATGGTCGACTATGGGTCCCTCCATCCCCATCGCATCGGAAGACATGGGAAGAGCAAGTAAGGTCACCAATTTCCATCACTGTTGAACTTTGTATTAGTTCAGGAGTTCTTGATATCCTATTACTGACGAGTTAAAAAAAAAAACTGATATGAAGGCACATATTGAGCGAATACTACACGACCATTTCCTCTTCAGGAAGCTCACTGACTCACAGTGCCATGTTTTACTTGATTGCATGCAAAGAGTTGAGGTGAAAGCTGGGGATATAGTGGTGCAGCAGGTTCTTATTTTCTATGCTTATTTATTTTACTGGTACTCTGATGATATTTTTTCTGGCTTCTAAGAAATTATTTAATAGTGGGATTATGTGATGCAGGGCGGTGAAGGCGAGTGCTTCTATGTAGTTGGGAGTGGTGAGTTTGAAGTGCTAGCCATTCAGGTATCCATTTTTATTCACATTTATTTAATGTGATATTTTCTTAAGACGCTTTTTGCATAGGGTGCTAAAACTACACCCTCCATTGTTCTGTACTTGTCATTTTGATCATTTTTTGAGTTAAAAATAGTAGTCATTTTTTTCAAGATTGAATTTCCTATTTTGTCCATACTATGAATTTGACATTGTGATTGGCACATTTAATTGGAAACCTCTAGAGTGTTTTTTAAATAAGAAGAAAAGAAAAAATGTACTTCTATTCAGACGGGTTTAATCACTTCGATAAAAGAAATCAACTATTTTACAATATAATTTGTTCTTTAACCTTTATTCAGTGATTTCGAAGTCTAAATTGGTGAAATGATAAAAAAAAGCAGGAAGAAGATGGAAAGGAAGTTACAAAGGTTCTACATCGGTATACTGCTGACAAACTATCTTCTTTTGGGGAGCTAGCACTAATGTGAGATTTGTATTCACTTGCCCTTTAGTATATTTGCTCTGATCTTTTGCACCATGTTTTAAGAAGTCACGAAAATTGTTCATGAGATCAATCAAGATAAGTATCGTACAATAGTTATGAACAGGTGCTTACAAAAACGATAGGAAAACGTAGTGCCAATAAAACCCACTACTAATCGGAACAGTTTACCCTGTCTCCTATACAGTTCTAAAGCTTGAAGCTTAGTCCCACTAGCTAACATCCAGAATTATAAATACAATCGACTTGATTTTTTATTTTTATTTTTTTTGATAAAGGAAGCTTTTATTAATCTCAGACGATTACATCAAGTTGATAGAACCATACTAAGAAAACTCCTGGCCTCTGCATAACTAGGATGCACACAGCCAAAACACACAAACCCACAAACCCACAACTTGATTTTTTATGAGAACAAACTACTGGTGTGGGTTGATGTGTAATCTCTCCACCTTTCTTAGTTTAGATTTTTTGGGTGAAAGACCATCCAACTGTACTCAAATGTACACTTAGCAACAGAACTTTTAGTAATGGCCACTAGCTTTTGAACATATCATCACTTATGAATCTGAAACCTACCATACCATGACATGAGAAGGCATTAGAAAATAACATTATGGATCCCTCCATGGCTAATCACAGTAAAATTAAAACTAAATCCAAAATGTATGTCTATGTCTCTTTATGCATGTATTATGTATATGATGGAAAGTTGAATCAATTCAGATGGACATAGACTCAAGTTACTATTGTTGAAAAACAGGTATAATAAACCACTTCAAGCTTCAGTCCGTGCTGTGACTACTGGAACTTTATGGGCTCTAAAGCGAGAGGATTTTCGGGGAATTCTGATGTCAGAGTTTTCAAATATACCATCATTAAAGTTGCTCCGATCAGTGGAGCTGTTTACGAGATTGACAATGCTTCAACTAAGTCAACTTGCTGATTCTCTTGTTGAAGTAACTTTTGGGGATGGTCAAATGATAGTAGACAAGGTACTTGGACTGGAAAATGTTTCCTTTAGTAATATTGTTAGAATGTTCTTCTGCAAACTTATGAGTTTCTTCTTTATGTTGGCTTACTTATTTTGTGGGTCTTTTTTTCAGAATGATGATGCATCTTCCTTGTATATTATTCAAAGAGGTCGTGTGAAACTTAAATTGGCTGCAGATCAGGTAAATTCAGATGCCTGGGATCTTCTTAGTTCTCAAACAAAGGTGGCCCAATCAAGTCGAGAAGATGGTAATTACGTGTTTGAGATAGATGAAGGGGGACACTTTGGAGAGTGGGCTCTCTTTGGGGAGACAATTGCTTTTACTGCTATGTCAGTTGGTGATGTGACTTGTTCTACTATTGCAAAGGAGAAGTTTGACTCAATTATTGGGCCCTTGCCAAAAGTTTCCCAGTCTGATTCCAAGTACTGCATCTGAAATACTTTTCACATAGTTTACTGAGCAAATGTTTCTCAATTGCTTACTTTGTCACATGGATGGCATCTATGTAGGCTCAAAGATTCCTTGGTTCCTAAAGGGCATGGTGCAGATGATAGTTCCTTCAGGAAGGCGCAGCTATCTGATTTGGTAGGGGGTTAGTACTACCCTTCCTTTCCTCCAGCATCTGTTTGTTTATCAGAGGAGATTTTGTTGAAATTTTATACAACCACGTGTATAAATTTTATACGGCTATATCTTTGTCCACAGGAATGGAAAATGTGCATATATGCCGCTGATTGCAGTGAGATTGGTCTTGTCCAACTAAGAGGTTCTGGTATGATAATCAGTTTGGCCTTCAGTCATTATTGGATCAATTAATTCCCTAATAAACATTATTTATGTTTTTATCTAATCCTATTTTGTTTGGCTGTCTGATCATGGACCAGACAAGATCAAAAGCTTAAAGAGGTTTTACATCAAGAGAGTAAAAGACCTTCATAAGGAAAAACACGTATTTGATGAGAAGGATCTCATGAAATCTTTGAGCCAATCAACTTGTGTGCCAGAAGTTCTATGTACTTGCGCTGATCAATCCTACCTAGGAATACTGCTGAATTGTTGCCTTTGTTGCTCACTGGCTTCAATACTTCATGCACCACTAAATGAGTCGTCTGCACGATTCTATGCAGCCTCTGTCGTCGTAGCGCTAGAAAATCTCCATCAGGTAAGATTTTGATTTTGTTTGTTGAAAATTTAACACAAGAAAATTTGTCTCTAGGGTTTATTCTAACAGGCTAATCCATACACGCTTCTCCCGATGTAAGTACTAATGCATAGTATATGCAATTTCAGAGGTCCATTCTTTACAGAGGTGTTTCTGCAGACATTCTTATGGTCGACCGATCAGGGCATCTTCAACTAGTTGACTTCAGGTTTGCAAAGAAGTTGCAAGGTGAAAGGACTTACACAATATGTGGGATTGCCGACTCTCTAGCTCCAGAGATAGTTCTTGGTAGGGGCCATGGATTTTCTGCTGACTGGTAAGTGGCTGTTTATCACTTCCCTATGTGAAGCCCACATGCCATGTGTTCTGAATTTTATCCAATATGGATTTATGGCTTTATCTTGTCTGTCCAAGTGTACATTGCTTTTAATGTAAATGGTGATGATTCTGGGTGAAGGCATTTACTTCCAGATTCACATGCAAATCTTAGACATTTTTACCTCAACTTTCTGACATTTTCAGAGGAGATTGAAATAAATTAATACTGCAATGGTAATAAAACATCAAAGAGAAACCATGTGTTTAATTAGAAACCACATATTCATATTTCTTACATCACCTTCATCTCAAAAGTAGCACAAATTATGGTGCCAATGAATGGATATAGTACAATACTCGCGCTTTTGAGTTGTAAAAGCACATATGCATGCCTTCGTTCAGGTAAAGAATATTAACAGATGGTTCTTTGGTTTTTCATCATCAGGTGGGCGCTGGGAGTGTTGATTTATTTCATGCTGCAATCAGACATGCCATTTGGCTCTTGGAGGGAGAGTGAACTGGAACCTTTTGCAAAGATTGCCAAGGGTCACCTTGTCATGCCATCAACATTCAGCATCGAAGTTGTTGACCTTATTACAAAGGTTATACTATCCCATTATGGATTGTTGTTTTTGATTCAGCGGTTCGTCTATTATTCACCTTGTCAGGATTTCCTACTATATTGACACGAATACTCTCTGAACAGCTACTCGAGGTAAACGAAAATGCGCGCCTTGGGGCCAAGGGAGCGGAATCTGTGAAAAGACACCCCTGGTTTGATGGCATTGACTGGAAACAAATAGCAGATGGTACTTATACAGTACCCCAAGAAATCACCGATCGTGTCGACAGCTATGTAGAAACTCTTACAGAGGACTTGACAGCATCCCCTTCCATGCCAAGTGAAGAAACAGCTGATCAGGCTGCTCCAGAATGGATCCAGGATTGGTGATCTCAGTTGCTGCATGAACAAAAAGATGTTTGGGAAAACTTGTTTAGCATTTCAAATGAAAAAAAAAACGGGTACATACATGATTACAGCATGTGAATTTTTGTCGAAATGGTGGATTATACGTAGCAACAATTCTGTATAGAGGAATCATCAGCTCAACCTGCAACCATCTGATGGATATGCTAGCAAAAATGTGAAAAATGGTGTTGCAGTAGTTCAAGCAGGAGCCAGAACTGGTCTGCAGGGAGAACTAATGATTCCTGTGGTACATATGTATAGACCCTTCTTTCATTTGTAAATTTATTTGTATTATTCATCTGTAGGTGAAAATTATAACTGCCTACCTATGTAATTTTGTATAACATTTTGATAAGAAAACAGGGGCCATGTGTCTGACGGTGACTTCTGAACTTTTAATTTTTGCCGTAGACTGTTGTGCTCTTTTGATAGATTTAAAGAAGGCTCCAAATCCGTTACTATTTGGTACTTTCCAACAATGAGGTATTTTCTGATTTTCTCCCCCTATTTGTTGCACTAGCCTTGCAATGTAGCACAGCATAATTTGGTTTGATTACTTCGAATGCCACCATGATGATTTGGATGGCTTATCTATGCAGATTTTCTTTTGAAAGGTTGTTTGTGCATAACTAGATTATCAGATTATAGAATCAACTAGGAAGGTGACCCACGCGATGCGTGGGCATCCGTACTATCATAACGTAAGAAATTATATCTTATAAGGGCAAACTATAGGTTGGATATATCTGAAAACCATTCATTGACTTAGAAGATAGATCAAGGTCATATGACATTTGAATTTACTTTTGACTGAGTGAGTAAATATCATGTATACGTGTTTGCGAAAAGTAAATATCATATATACCATTTGAACACATACCATACAATATTGCTACAAGTAAAAATTGCGATAGCAAGGACTCAAAGTTATTGTGATGGAATCGTCTCATGAAGATGCATGATTTAGTGACAACCAAATTAAGGATAGATTAACGGTTGGATTGTTTTTCCCTTTATAGAAGTTCAAAATTTTCATATTCTTTTCCGAAGTTTTAAAGAATTTTTGTTAGGACACAAATCATTTGCAGAATTGCTTGGTTGTGTAGTGCAAAATATCAGCAATTGTTTGAAGCTTTTCTTTTTATTTCTTTTTCGCATGTTTGATTGTTTTCTTCGAAACAATATTTGTTTGAAATAAGAGCAAAATTATATAAATTTAATTGGTATGTATAGTGTTTATCGGATCACCTTAGCTGCCTTAGGTACGAAGCTTCGTCATACGTGCAGAAAGCAAACATGCACATGTGCGAGGTCTTTAGAAGTTTCATTTTACTTTTATAAAAGATAGATATGGCATGCTTGTTAATAGGTCCTTAATAGGTATAGTTAATAGGTCCATCAGTTTAAGTGAAAACCGATATCAAAATATTTTTATTAAAAATAGTATAAAATAGTGGGCTCAGTAATTAATGTAAAATATTAGTTAATATAGATCATAAATTGGCAATTTACTGGTAGAGAATATTATTGCGTAACATTTATATTAAACAACATGTTTTTAAAATTTTGATATAAAATAATGATTTGATATAATAGATACATCGGTTTAAGTAAAAAAATATATTATATTGTTAATATAAAGGGCAAAATAATATAGTTTTATAAAATTTATTTTCAAAAATTTGTGGAGCTAATTTAGAAATGTATAGATGATATATATAATCTATGTTTATAAAGTTATAATTTCTTCAAATTTATTACCACTCCTAATAATTACAATTTCGTCAATACATGTAGAAGAGAAGGAAGAAGAAGGAAGCAAATGCACGTTTTTAGTGACATAATTATATTTTTATGTTTTTCCACTTTATCTTTTTAAATGTACGTTACAGTTGTATATGTATTTTTGGCTTTTTTATAAGTCGTACGTAAGTACATTTCTCTTGTCGGTGCGCTGAGGGAGATTAGGAGAGAGATTATTAATAGAATTTAATCTAATGGTCAGAGATAACAGATCCATCAATTTAAATAAAAATTGATGGCTAGATATTTTAGTTTTTTCCTCACATTTTCTAGATGTTTTTCTAATTTATTAGAGTGTATTTTTACAACTTAAAATATAGTTAATACGAATATTGATTTTCTATCTCATCTAACCTGAAGGGAAAAAAAGAGGAAAGAACAAAGAGGGTAGGTACATATGTACGTGCACGTCCATGGAGAGATAGAGGACTTTTTCTACGCGTGATTCTTTTTTCCAGATGAGCGTAATTTCAAAATCTTAAGATAGATCTATGTTAGCTAAATAATAGAAAAAGTTAGCTAAAAATAAGAGAGAAGAGGGAAGGGAAGAGTTGGAGGGTGGCTAGAGGGAGGGAGCACGTGCTGGCTACCGGAATTTTGAATTTTAGAGAGATCTAATGGTTAAAATTAATGGGTTCACCGATTTAATGGAAAATCAATAAACTTTTCTAATTTATTATAACGCCATGTGACAACTTATGAGTGTTTTTAGAGCATTTACATTGTACATGCTCTTAGGAGTCCCACGTGTCGGCTTGAGAGAGTTTGTAGGAAGTTTAGGTGTTATGTGCCCTCTAATATAGGCCATTCATTTTCTTTGAAATCCATGCAATTTTTTTAGGAGGGTAACATATATACACAAGATATTCTTTTTGGCTTCTTTTCTTGTCAGTACTATGTATTCATATGTACGCAGGATTTTTTTTTGTTTGGGAGGAATTATTTTTAATAGATGTGATCTAATGCTATAAAATAACTGGTTCACCAATTTAAATAAAAATCGAAGGTCGGAATTTCTAGAATCTCCTATTATAATTACGTAATTTTAATACGAAGATGAATTCCAATGTCAATAGCATAAAAAAGCAGGGTTTTAAATCTCCTGCTATAGTTGTTTGAAAAGGGTTTAGCTATTTGGTCTCATGTACAATTTAGCCACCATAGCTCTATTTAGCCCGCTATAGCTGCCGCTATATCTGTTTGAGAAACTAACCGTTAAATGGCTTAGCCCGCTATTTAAAACATCCTAAAAAAGTAGAGGTTGTAGGGTAAAAAAGGGATAAATGGGGAGAGGGAAAGAAAGGAGGGCACATACCTTACCTAGGTACAAACTGGATGAAGCAGGTGTACATACACGCGGGAGAGATGAGAGGGAGGGACTAACTCTTCTTTTAATCTAATCTAAATCTAAAATAATGGACTCACCAATTTATATCTCATGTAGTAAAAATATTTTTATTCGGTGAATAATGGAGTAAGTATATATACGTACACAGGAAGATTCTTTTTGGCTTTTTTCACGTGAATAGTGCTATATATTTATAAGTACATAGGATATTCTTTTTGGTTTGGAAGGTATTATTTTTTATAGATCTAATCTAATGTACAAAATAACTTGTCCATCTGATTTAACGTGAAAATCGAGGATCGATTGCTTTAGGCTGTGTTTAGTTTCTAAAATTGGGGATAAGTTTGGGGAAATTTGGTAGTTTGGAAAAAAGGTTAGGAGTTTATGTGAGTAGGAAAGTTTTGGATATGATGTGATGTGATGAAAAGTTGAGAGTTTGGGGGAAGTTTGGTGTGAACAGAGCCTTATTTTGGGACTGTATATGTAACAGCCTGCTGAAATTTTTTGTGGTTTCAGCAAATATACGCTCAAAAATACCAATGGCATAAAAATGAGGTGATATAAATATATTGTAAGGTATTTCAGATAAAATTAAATAAAAAAGTTTGGGGGGAGTAAAAAAAAAAAAGGTGGGGCACACGTTCATGCATGTTACATGCGTGCCATTGGGGCATACGTATGCGCTCGTGAGACGAGGGGAGGACTAATTGACTTTTTTTAATTTGAGATAATCTAATGGTCTAAAATAATGGATCTACCTATTTAAGTGAAAATCAAGGGCTAGATATTTCTAATATATTAGAATGCCACGTCTAATATATTAGAATGGCACGTGACAAACTAGGAGCGTTTTTAGGAGTCCCGCGTGATGGTTTGAGAGTGTTTGTAGAAAATTTAATGGACTTTTAGTATATAATAGATTGTTCGATCATTCGCCACCTCAAACTTAATCTCTCTCTTAAAAATAAGAAAAACTCCAAATGTCCTTAGAGCATTACCAACGGAGTACCAAAATTCAATCTCCTAAATCTGTTTTTTTATATCTGTAATGGGATTTAAGGGACTAAAAATATCCTCTCTCCAAGGATATATAACTTCAAAAAAAAAAGAGTGGGCCAGTAAAAAACATTCAAACAGAATTGACCCTCTCCTCCCGTACTTCCACGATTCCTCTCAATGCGACCATGGTGATTAGGAGTGAGAACATCTTCCGAGTTGTGAATAAGGAAATTTCTAGAGACGGGGATGAGGATTTTTGAGAGTTTGTTTAGTATGAGGCTGAATTTTACTTAAAACCTAAAAATTTTGGGTTGGCAATATGTTGCCCATGCTTTTATATTTTTAGACGGAGGGAGTAAGATGTGCTCTATTTTTTCTCTAAATTGTTACGTCTCAATTGAAAAGTAGAAATTGAACAGTTTTATTAAAAAACATGTGCTTAACCGAATCACATGTTTTTCATAAATTGTGAGCTGTCGTGTGTTCTTAACCAAAATTAAATATTTTAATAGTCTTAGGGCATCCTCAATGTATGCGTGAGCACTGGACAATAAAGGTGGGGCCCAGTGTAGGTAGCACTAGTTAAATCTCTCTTCACAATGGTTAGTGTGAGTGGGAGGTGTTAAAGTGGGTCCCGTTAGGGTCCCACTAAGGAAAAAAATATCAACACCTATCAACAGCCGTGGAGTCATTCGCGTGAGAAAAAATTAGCGTCCTCACTCCTCAGTTCCTCCGCCCGATCCCTAATCTGGCTGTTTCGACTTTTGTACCACTCACGGGCTTTCTTCCTTATCATCTCATCAGAGTATCCACTAGTGAGGGTAGTTCTAGCTTTAGCATAAAATCCATGAAACTTTGTAACATCTCTCTTCATGTTATCCTAATGTGTCCTGCATTACTTAGGTGTCCTTTTATTCCCATTACTAGGCATATTGGTGTTAAACTCTACAGCCACTGCCTTCCAATACTATTCTGATTTCTTGTCATTGCCTTTTATGGGATCAACAGAATTGTTCAACCAAGAACTCATCAGTCGCATGTTGTCATCTTCGGTCCAATTGATGTGTATCCCCCTTCTTCCTTCTTCACTGCTATCACTTCCCTCTTCAAGATCAACTACTTCTTTCTCCTTCTGTCTTGCAAGGCTTGGAGAAGCTGACTCTGATCCATGGGAAGAATTGTTGGTTGCAGCCCCAAGTGATGAATTATATTGCATCCCAACTTGTGATTTACTAGCTGCAAATCCATACACTTGATTAGGTGAGCATACCATACTTTCTTGAAGTTGAACCCCTGGAAAGCTAGATGGAGTTGTTTGCCCATAATAATCTTGTTGGTGGGCACCTTGAAAGATTGGAGGAGGGTGGCTATATGGCTGGTAGTTAGTTGGAGTACCAAAAGGATGAAAATTATGTAGAATTAAGTCCCAAATATTGGGGAAAATTTGTGGGAAATTGGGGATGAGGGGGGTTTGGGCCATCACTCTCTACTGCTTGGCTTGAGGAACCTTGATTGAGCGGATTTGTAAAAGTTTTGTTGAAAGGATCCATTTATGGTGTGGTGAAATGGATGAATCAGGTTGTGTTGCTCGTTCACTTGTGGGTTTTCTACCTCTGTTTTATAGGTATTAGCGGCAAGAAAATAAAGCCAACGGCTAGAAATGTTGTAGCAACGGCCACAACCAAGACTCCAGGTCTAACGGCTAGAAGCTTAGCAGTTGAACTGATATGTATATTTTATTTTTTTTGACCGGAATTACTGCCAGGGCTTTGCCCAGTAGTGTAATTTTATAAAAATTAAAAATATTTACAAAGTTACAGAGTTACAGAAAGAAAACCGCAACAAAGACTATAAAGTTTGTAACCAATTAAGAACAATTTGCTTTAAAGCATCCTTCATTTTGCACATATGCAGAAGAACTTCTTTCACAAAAAGTGATCTCCAGGCTTGGAAGGAGGGTTGAATGTTCTGAAAGATTAAACCATTCCTCCGCTTCCATATGTGCCAAGCTGCCAAAAAGAAAACCTCCAGGAAGCCCTTTTGAGCAAACTTAGTCTTGCTAGGGCAATCATTTGAAAGAACTCCAAATCATGGTTCCACTCAATTCCCAGGTGCTGCCAACACTTGATACTGAAAGGATAGGAGAAGAAAAGGTGCAACCTTGTTTCTCTGTGATTAGCATTGCATAAAACGCATGTGAGGTCATCATCTTCTTTGGCACAGTGCCTTCTATCCAGCATTTCTCTTGTGTTGAGTCTGTCACAGAACATGAGCCAGGCAAAAAATTTTATCTTCATGACACATTTTGTTTTCCACAACCAAATCATGGGTCTAGGGGGTTGTAATGCAGAAAAATTGAGCTTATAGAATTTCTTAGCTGTGTACTTGTCTGAACCCTAGATAAAACTCCAAGCATCCCCCTTCCTGACTGTATGTTTAGATGGCCTAGAACTTCCTCTAGCTGCAGAAATTCAGAAAAGGCCACATCTGAGAGAGGTAGAATAAAAGAATCCTCTAAAGGTCTTGAACACGTGGCTTTCACTGAATCATTTTTATACATGGCCGCGGCAAAAATATTAGGGTAGCTAGTGCATTTAAAATCATCATTCCATAGATCATTCCAGAAAAGAGCAGTTGTTCCTATCCTGATTTCACACTTGGCTACTCCCCTAAAGATATCTGCAAGAGATGTGATATCCCTCCACCAGAATGAACCCTTATTCACCATCAAGTGTGGAACTTTAGAATCATAATATGTTTGTGAGATCAGTTTTACCCAGGGTAAATCAGCACCATTGTAGAATTTGACCATATGTTTTAGGAGTAAGGCTGTGTTTTGAACTCTCAGGTTGATCACTCCTAGTCCTCCTTTCTCTTTAGGGGTGCACACCCTGTCCCAAGAGGCTAGAGATTTCCTTGTAAAAGAAGGGTTATTTCCTCTGCACAGACAGTTCTTTCGAGTTGTGTCAATGGCCTTGATGACTGTAACTGGTAGCTGCAAAGAGGACATATAGTAGGTTGGGATTGATGAAAGGACTGAATTGATCAATGTTAACCTTCCTCCTTGAGGCAGAAACATGGAGCTTGCTGTCAACCTTCTTTCTACCCTGTCTAACAAAGGTGCAAAATCCACCACTCTAGGTCTAGTGGTGCCCAAAGGCAATCCCAAATAAGTGAAAGGTAGAGAACCAATTTGACATCCTAGAATGCCAGCTAACAAATCAGCTTTGTCCTGTTTGAGATTGAGAGGGTCCAAGCTTGATTTATCAAAGTTCACCTTAAGGCCTGTGGATTGAGAAAACATATTTAACATAGCCTTGAAATAGAAGATTTATCTTTTGGATGCTTTGAGCAAGATCAATGTGTCATTAGCATACTGTATGATTGGGAAACCATCCCCATTGCTTTCATTAATTGGCTTTGAGAAAAGACCCTGATTGAAAGCTTTGTTGATTATCCTTTGCACCATCTCTGCACCCAACACAAAAAGCAGAGGTGAGAGAGGGTCTCCTTGTCTGACCCCTCTCTTGCACTTAAAAGAGTTCCCTGGCACCCCATTTAGAAGCACCACAGAAGATGCAGTAGAGAAAACCATTTCTACCCACTCAATCCATTTTGGTGGAAAACCCATATGATGCAGAACTGAGAGAATTGCATAGTGCTCAATGGTATCAAAGGCTTTTTCAAAATCTAATTTCAGGAGGACAATTTCTCTCTTAGACTACTGACACTGGTGAATATATTCAAAAGACCTAGCAAGAAAGTCTTGTATTGTTTTTCCTTTAATGAAACCATATTGATTATCACTCACCAGTTTGAGGATTACCCCTTGAAGCCTATTAGCCATTAACTTTGTTAGAACTTTCAGGCTTATTCTCATGAGGGAAATAGGCCTGAAGTCATTGACAGTCTCTGGGGAGCTTTTCTTTGGAACCAAGGTTATAAAAGAGCTATTTAGGATCTCCAAATCAACACATCCAGCATGAAAATGAGCTGCCAGTCTGTAATAATCTTGGGCTATAATGTGCCAACACTTTTTCATGAAATAGCCATTGAAACCATCTGGTCCAGGTGCTTTGTGAGCTGGGATAATGGAGATGAGACTGTCAATTTCCTGAGTAGAAAACAGATCAACCAGACTACTCAAATATGTATGTATGTCAAAAAGAGTATCCAGGTCAAAAGCCATCTGTGGGGAATTTGAAACACCTATCCTGTTCTTGAAGTTGTGATGAAAAAGATATGCCTTTTGCTCATGCAAATGCACAGTCTGTCCATTGTGATCTAGCACTTGTGAGACAGTGTTGAATCTGAATCTTTCAGTGGCTATTGATTGGAAAAATTTTGTATTCTCCTCCCCAGCATCATCCATCTATTAGTACACCTTTTTTTTTCAATAGGCCTTCCTGAACTCCAACAATTTCAAAATTTGCACTTTTACAGTTTCTCTGAAATTCCACTCATAGACTGAGAGCATTCTGTTTTCTTCAACTAAATCCAAAAAGTCCACCACTTTGTTGCATTTTTTTTAAAAGTCCCATCAATTTAGATATATTTTTACTCCAAGCTAGGAGCTTTTTCCTTAGCACTTTCAATTTAAAAGAGATGCATTTGGCAGGATCATCAAAACCAAGATCTAAAGACCAAACTGCCTGAACAATATCAAAAAAACCCCTCCATCTCCACCCAGTAATTTCCAAATCTAAAGATAGGAGATTTTAGGATTTTAATGTTAATTTTCACTACACATGGCACATGGTCATAAATGTTTCTGGTTAAAGGCACCACTATTGTGTTAGGATAATCCAATGTCCATGAAGCCGATGTAAACACCCAGTCCACTCGTTCAAGAAGAGGATTCTATTGCATATTGCTCCAGGTGAAATTTCTTCCTTTAAGAGGGATTTCTAGAAGGCCCAGATATTTTATTGTTGTGAACAGTGTAACAATTATATTTTATTCTCTTATGTCACGCCTTAAGCTTAAGCTTGTTTTTACAAGCATGAAGCTTGTGGTGTAGCTCCACAATGCTTAAAGTCATGTACTGTTGCAGCATCAATTGCTTAAGGTTACCTTTTTCACACATTGAGGATGCCCTTAACACTTATCTTGAAGATTCCATAGATAAGATTGCTGACGAGAGTTTAAACGTTGTCGAACTAAGTTTCGCTATATACACACAAAAATTCAATGAAACATGAAAAAATAAGTCCAATACAAGTACTTGGATAAAAATAACTCCGCTAGCTTAACCTATAATAGCTATACATCAATAATAACGGGCTGATTCGGTTAAACATTTACACGCCAAGGTGGTTTTGCAATGAAATTAAGTATAGGGTGGACATTTGCAACAAAATAATTTATGGAGTGAAATGTCAGACTCCAAATGACTTATATGATGTGATGGTTTTTCTAATTTTCCATTATATGTAAAATTTCTGGGTTTCATGGCGCATAAAATTTGTGGGCCTAATTTGTTAAAAGGAAAACGTGGGCCTGGGCCCTGGTGTGTCAGTAGCGTCGCCTGTCTTCTTCTCCGAGAGATTAAAAAAGAGAAGCTCCTTGCGAACCTTGAGAGATGGCGGCGACGGCGGCGGCGGAGGCGGAGGCGGCGGCCGGCGACGAGGCGTGGTGCCGGGAGACGGTGCCCCGGGTGATGGAGCTGGTGAGCCCGCGCCTCCCCCAGCGCGACGCCTGCGCCCTGCTCGCCGTCAGCCCCTGGTGCCACCGCGCCCTCGTCGCCAACCCCAAGCTCTGGGAGGTGCGGTACCGCGTCGCGTCGCTCCCTTCTACCTTCTTCGTCCTCCCGCTGCTTGCTCTTGGTCTCGACTCTCGAGGCGTGCTTCTTCGTTGTTTCGCGCTGCTGAGGAAGTGGTCCCTCGCCTGGGCTTCGTCGCTGGAGTGGCCGGTGATTTAGCTCGTGTAGTCGGTGCGCCTCCTGTTCGGCCTTGTTCTGAATTGCCAAAAGCATAATGCAGCGAATTCGTACTCCATGTTCAAATCTGTCGCACCGGATGGTAGCAAAATGGTTCTTCGATTCGTCCCTTTTTGTTTATTGGGTCATCGTATTGTTTCTCTATTTTTCATTTTTGAGGGGGGAAAGTAATCGTAATTTTGCCTGCTAGAGTTGAAATTCAGATTGCGGGACTCCTGCTAGAAGGATTATTAGTCTCTACAATACTTAAATTATCCCCATCTTGATTTATTGTGTAATAATCTTGATTTTTTTCCCGAACCATGAACAAATGCCTCCTCAATATTTAATGTAGGTGCTTGATCTGCATGAGATGAACAAAGCTGGTGACCGACTTATTTCAGCGATATCACTGGCAAGAATAATCCTACTTTTGAATATTATATTTTTTTTAGTGATGAACTCATGAACTGATGAATAGATGCTTGATCTACCTTCTGAATGATAATTCATACTATTTGTGTGGTTGCTCATATTTCTGTACTATTTGATAAAACATCAACGTTTTCTAGTGCACACTGCACAGCAGCATCATACTGTAGTCTCAGTTTAAAATCTTTAAGTTGCTTTGGTGACATGTTTTGTCCCATTCTTCCACAGCCAAGATATTGTCATCTCAAAATTATTAACCTTGAATTTGCTCAAGATATTGATGACCGGCATTTTGTTCGCCTGAAAGAAATGGTAAGATTTCCTGTGACTTTTGTTCTTTTACTTAGAAAAAGATTGAGCTATAATATGGATCTGCAACTTAATTGGTTCAATTACAATGATTTACAGGGATGTACCTCACTGCAAGAGTTGGAATTATTGAACATAAACGCATGCCAAAAAGTTTCTGACAAAGGGATTGAAACTATTACAAGTCTTTGTCCAAACCTTCGGGCCCTTTCTATCTATTGGATTGTTGGGTACACCATTTCTGAATGTTTTCTTTGCCATACAGCCCCCCTTGTTTCTAATTGGTGGACATTTTGTTTCCACAGACTGACAGACTTAACCATTAGGCACATTGTGCAGAACTGCAAGCACATAGTCGACCTGAACTTGAGTGGTTGTAAGGTAATGTCTTTGTCTGCATTTCCCAGTTGACAGTATGTTTTGTTCCATATTTTCCTTGATCAAGCCGGCATCTAGGGAGAAGCTAGATGTACTTTGCTATGTCTCTTTCCATAATTATTGTGCATAGAATAGTTTCCTTGTAGCTGCTTATTGTTACCGAAATGATTCCTGGTGCAGTGCAAATGCAGAGTGTGTGCTTTGTATATCCCTTTGTACTGAACTCTTCCATATCTCAACTAAAAATCGCAAACAAGATTACTATAATCTTGGAGTTCTGATGTGTTTCTATAAATGAACAGTTGTGGACTACCAGTTACAATCATTCCTGTCATTTTCATTCTTTTTGTCCCATTATCTGTTTCGGTTCACTACGATAGTAAGATGAGTCAAGTGCAAGAGTTATCTTTATGATTGCAGAATATCTCAGATAAAGGTATGCAGCTAGTTGCTGATAATTATGAAGGACTAAAGAAGTTGAACATAACCAGGTACACTTCATTCTTGATGTGCACTGAATGTTTATTGTGCTCTTTGGTGTTGCTCAAATTCAGTGGTTGTGAGCAGGAAATGAAATTTAAACACGTATATACCCTCTATTATATATTTATAGGTGCATCAAGTTGACAGACGATGGACTTCAAGAAGTGCTTCAGAAATGTTCTTCTCTTGAAAGCTTGAACCTTTATGCCCTGTCAAGGTAATATTGGAAAAAGCAAATGATGTTTATATGCGAACTCGAGTGTCTATTATCTATCATCCTACTTCACATCCTGCAGTTTTAGCGACAAGGTTTATAAGAAGATAGGATCTTTAACTAACCTTACATTTCTAGACTTATGTGGGGCCCAGGTAACTATTTGTTTTTATTTACTTTCAACTATCAATTTATTTTTAAATTTTTTTGTAATAATTTACCAATCTGTGGTTTCCAGAATGTAACTGATGATGGCCTTTCATGTATATCAAGATGTGTATGTCTGACATATCTCAATTTGTCCTGGTATGAACTACCTGTCCTTTTTTCTCTGTGCAATGAAATTGTGTTGATTGATCTCTGCAATCACTTGACAGGTGTGTACGTGTTACTGATGTTGGGGTGGTAGCTATCGCACAAGGATGCCGGTCCCTTCAATTGCTTAGGTAATGCGGTAATTTTATCCAAAATACTCCATCTATTTGTTGCTTATTGTACTTGGATTTTTTTTTGGCAGTTTATTTGGAATAGTTGGTGTAACTGATGTCTGCCTGGAGGCTTTGTCAAAACATTGCTCACGTAGTCTCACAACTCTTGATGTAAATGGCTGTATTGGTATTAAGGTGAGGATTCGAGAACTATCTCTTGGACTTTGTTTCTTTTATTTATTTTGTAATTTTCATGTTTTCTTCCAGTTTCATTAATTATTCCTCACTTATAGGTTCATAACCTCATAACTTAAATCAAAGACCTTCCATAAGGGGTTATTTTTTTTACCAACGTTTATGCATTTTATTGGAAAATGTTTATTTTACTCAATTTTTCTTCACGCCCATAGGTGACTTTCTATGCCAATGTCAATAAGCTATATTCAGCTTTTGTTGTTCTAATTTTGGTTCTCATTCATATATTACTTTGGTTGTTTACAGAAGAGGAGTCGGGATGACCTGATTCAGCTGTTCCCGTTGTTACGGTGCTTCAAAGTACACAGCTAGTTGACCTGAATTTCTGTTAAGTTGTTTATTCTACCAGAGGTCAGTTCCCCCTGTTAACATTTAAAACACAATCGAGTTACTCCATGAAGAAAAACAATAGCAAGACAGTTTTGTCGACCTAGTGGCTATATGTATTTTGAATTTGGTGGAGATCACAAAGATTTTGTAGAACTTGTATTTGATTTTCTTACAGTGGTGGGAAGTTGATCTGTTTGTTTCTGGTCCTGATGCTTTGGAGTGTGTATATCCTGTATGTGAACGCATATATTATGTGTGAACCAAAGGTTTTTTAGGGTGTGCTTGAGGAGCTCCTGTTAGGACCTGTTTGGGGAGCTTATGTAGACTGCAGCTTCTTCCAGGATAAAAAACTTCTCCAAATAGTACAGTTTTTTATCCAGCTGCTGAGAAACTATAGTTACAGAATCTTGAAGGGTTTTCTATCTTCTTAAAAACTGGCTACCAACAAGCTGCTTCTCAATATCTTACCCCCGAACCAGTACTTAGTTTTCCTTCATTTGCTTGCTGGTTCAAAGTGTTGGCTTGTCAGCCACTTTCGTTGTTTCTTCATGTCACCGATCCGCAGTTCTCGCCTTGGCTTAGTGCGTATACTTTTGGACATTTGACTAAATCTACGTATAAATATATTCCTTTCATTTTAGGCCGTGTTTGAATTTCTTGGTTTTTACAACATCTTTCGAGGAAGTATTCAGGAACTAGCTCATCTCCTAAGAAATAATATAAGCTTTGCTTAGGCCGCTAAAATTATTTGTAAGCAAGCTCACGCAACCTTACGGCATGGAAAATACGGCATGTTGCTCAGGATAGCAACCAAACATGCCCCTAGTATGAGACATGGGGTACATCTGTATGGCTAAAAATTTTGCATGTATAAAAAACGGATGAAAAAACACTTACATTAATTCAAAATTAAGTTCTAATATTTAAAAGAGTGAATTGTAATTTGGGCCACATTTATTACACGAATTTCACTTTGGATCATTTTTAAACCAATCTTTTCACTTTAGATGGGTAATTTTGCAATTTTTTCGGTTTGGACAATGGCAAACAATTTCTTCAGCACGCATCAACAATCTCAATCAAATTGGTTTGGATACATCAGTGAACTTTCTCATCTATATGCAGGTCATATGTTTACCAGAATGGAGGGTAGACATGAATAGTAAAGAGAGTTGGGTGGTCCAAACAAAAAAAAAACCCATTCAAAGTGAAAAGATTAGTTTGGAGTGTGACAAGGACTAAGGTCCCGATCTTCCGTTAGGTATTGATAAGTCGATTGTGCAGACTCGATGTTTATGATCCAAAGGCTTCGATCAGGATGACCCCTCGCAAGCACTACACAACCCTTCCGTTGGTTATCAACCGTGTGCCGAAACACGGTTGACCTCACCTATAAGGCTATCTCCTGCAATTGAATCGACGACACAAGTAAGAGAGTAAAAAAAAGCAATCTGAATATATATTGCAAATATATGATGAAGCTCATAAACTGGGGTTCCATGAACCGAACTAGTGGTGAAACTGCAATGGCAAAAATAATCTAAGCATAACCTGATTCTAAATGATAACGGCTATTAAATAAATATGATTAGGGATGTCCTAACGTTAGCCCAAGGGCATCCGCCCCTTGGGCTTAGCCCTCAACACAATTACAAGGTCCGATGCTCAAATCAGACTCGACTATTGGATGATGTATGTGGCTTCTTTTATATATTTCCGATAGATGAGAAGGAATTTTGATGTGGGACCAAAACTATCTGAAAGTAGTCTCCGTAAGCTTTTTAACAAGTACTCATGGGCTTCGAGATTCCTTCTTGATCAGCGGATATGTCCGTTCGAAGTTGATGCGGTCAGGAGGCCTAAATCCGAATCCAAAATATGCCGAACTTTATCTATTATCTTCTATGGACCAAAATAGACATGGTGATGTAGGAGTAGACTTGGGAAGGATATTGATTGGTCCCCAATCAACTTCACATCCCCGCTTGGTCTCCCTCTCTTCATCCATGCAAGTACTTCTGTCAACGAGAACACATAAAGCTTATAGTGGAGTGACATTTGTCCATATATATAATGTAAATCTTACATAGAAAGTATACACTATGCACTCTGGTTAATGGATATAGAAGGTAGCTATGGTCATATTCACGGTGGTGATGTTCTTAGTGGTCCAAAAAGGAAACTTTGTAATAAAAGATAGCCCAAGCTACCATTCACTCTATTTACAATTTGAAGAATAGTATCCGGTTGATAAACTGATCGATGAGCAGACAATGGAGCATGTCATCATGTATTAAATTTCTAAGTGTCTTAACGATTAAATATTGATAATTAGTTTTTTTACGAGGTGATGACAATTAGTTTCTTGTAACATGTAATATATGTTCTCAATAGCTGTAAATATGTTCCGACTTTAAAATATGAATTTATTGTCAAAATTGCAAGTGCCAATATATTTTAGGTTTACTACTAATCATCTCTTAAAATCTACTTTAGTTTTTTAACATTAAAATATGCCTTCTAAAAAATAAATCAATGTAGGAGTTTATTTAGTGTCAGACGTGTGACAACTAAAAATGAAAATCCATAGTGGGCATGGTTAATGGATGGTCATAATATGCTTTACGTACGTTTCAAGAGGTTTTGACTGCATCTAATGAATCAATGAATAATGCATTGGTCCATTGAAAAGGGAAAATCATACTCCTATGTCCTAGTCAAATTATCATAAATTTAATTAAATTTACAGGGAAAAAATTATGATGTCAAATGAATATCATTAGATAAGATATAATATATATTTTTATAGTGTAATTCTTTGATATAGTATATGTACTCCCCCATTTTTATTTCTTTGTCACTACTAATGGCTACACAAGTATATCAATGTAAGCAATATTTTCTAAGTAAAATAATCAAAATGGCCCTATGTACATGGGTATGCAATATAAAAGCTTCTAAATGTACAAGCTACAACGGATTTTTTTTTCAGAACTCATTGTACATATTTTAATATATTATCATTGTAGTACTTGTGTTATCAGTTTTGAGCTAGTGACCTGCTGAGCTAGCTATATTATTCTTCTAACTGAGCGCGTGTGGCTATGGGAGCTGAAAAGCAAACTCTCGTCTCTCTGTGTATGTTCATGGGTCCCACATAGCAATTGGGTGATGGTGATGGCAAATTCACCACTATCATTTAACCGGACTTTACTTTAATTAGATTCAAAAATAAAATAGAAATTATCACCTTGGTAATTGTGTAGTGACAAATATTTATAAATTTTAGAAATTAGTGAAAGGAATGGAGGTAGTTTGACTTGTCTTTTGACAAGGAAAATTGTTTTAACTTATTAGGGCATGTGCAGTGTACCGCGGTTTTAATTAGGGATTTTACCATCTACATAAACATATCATCATCAAAACTATTCGATTCACAACACATGAGTATTTAAAGTGGGCTCACCAAAAGAATCTTTCCCCACCTTTTCAACTTTCTCCAACTCAAGCCATAGTCCTCCCTCTCCCTTCCCTCACAGCCATAGCATAGAGTGTGGGCCACGCCTGCGAAACCTAATGAGGAACTTACGAACTTGACTACGCGGTCTTCACGAGGCTCCACAGGTGGAGGATGTGACGGAGAATATTTGGTTCCTGGTGTTCGGGCTGAAGGCCACATAGGAGCATTAGAGGGTGTTTAGATCCAAGCGTGTAAAGTTTTGGCGTGTCACATCGGATGTACGGACACATATTTGAAGTATTAAACGTAGATTAATAGCAAAATAAATTATAGATTTTACCTGCACCTGTAAACTGCGGGACGAATTTATTAAGCCTAATTAATCCGTCATTAGCATCGCCCTTACAAGTTAGAGCACAGGGAGCGTGGTTTAAAAAGACGCGCACTATGCAAAAAGTCGTTCCGTTTCTTCGCAGAAGCATCCTCGCGCCGTTCCCCTTTCCCTCGCTTTCTTCTTTCTTCTTCTTCACGGGAGTATTTGCTTTGAGCTGCGGCGCAGAGGAGGCCAGCCAGCATTCGCTACGAGCAAAGAAGCGGAGAATCCAGCGAAGGCAAGCAGATCCAGGGTGAGCTAGCAGCAGCGCATCTACCTCCTCCTCCTCCCGTTTACGATTAATTGCTAATGCGAATGCATCCTCCAAATAAACCTAGCTATATATCTCCCTCACCTGCAATTGTTTCCACCCAAAAACAGAGCTGCGAAGAGGCGGATTGATTTGTTTCGGTGGCCCAACTTGGCAGATCGAGAGCAAGTCTGGTTAGCTGCGCATCATCATCATCCTCCCTCTACTGTATGCCCACTCTAATCTTGATTATATAGTGATAAATTGAATTTTGGTAAATAAAATTAGCACATACTAGCTTGGAATAAATAGTCTAAGTAATTGAGTAATTTTGTTTTTACTTTTTGACAAAACCTGTTTATAGAGCCGTGGAGCAAATTATTCGTGACAAAAATATGGTGAAGTAGCTGAAAATAACGGGTTATCTCGCTACTCTGTTGCTTCCTGCAAACTGTGCGCAGATATGAGCACTGTTTGAGTTCGATCCAACTGACCAAGCAGGCAGGAAACAAAAATATGATACCCGCACCAATGATTTGTTTTCTCGGAATGTATAAAGTATACTCGCCGATTCTTCTGGTTTACTGCACGCTTGCCTGATGTCCTATACCTTAATACTATTAAGAGTAAATTTTAGAAAACTACAACTTTAATGACAAAACTATCAATTTGCTACAACATTAGCGATATGTTTCAGTTTGCTACAACAATATAGCAGCATATAACGTAAAAGTTGCAATTTGTGATAATTTCCTACGCTATTGTTACAGCAAACTTATAGTTGTCACTAAAGTTATAGTTTTCTAAATTTACTCTACTATTAATTCATGACTGAAAATATGACATCAGGCAAGCGTGCAGTTAACCTGAAGAATCGGCGAGTATACTTTATACATTCCGAGAAAACAAATTTTTAGGGATTTTTTTATCCTCAAGAGTGTACCGGAAGGTGCCATATTTATCCGTGCAAATTTTGATTAGAGATTGATAATTCCTTGCTTAATCCAACCACGGCAGTACAAACTCCTCGAAGTACTTACTGGCATCCTTATCCCTTATGCAACCAACTAAACTTAATCCAAACAAACTTGTGAGTTGTGACTAACCAAACTCTGTATGGTGTAATTGGCAACCCGCATAGGATTTGAAGACGTGGCTGTGGCACCGGAATTGTTACTGGACTTTTGTGCTCCGACGCTTATACGTAATTCCCAGCGTGACAAGGTGCCTCCTCGAGCACCTCCAGATCACTCATTTTTACATTTCTCCAATATGACTATAACTGGTTATTTTATAGAACATTGTCGAAAGATAAAAATCACTCCTTACTTTTCAGGTTATAAGATATTTTGACTTTGGTCAAAGTCAAACTGCTTCAAGTTTGATCAAGTTTATAGAAAAAAAAGGTAATAATTTCGACCCAAGATAAATTTATTATAAAATTATATTTAGTTATTAATTTAATAAAACTAATTTGGTAATGTAAATATTACTATATTTATCTATAAACTTAGTTAAATTTGAAACAGTTTGACTTTGATCAAAGTCAAAACATTTTATAACCTAAAACGGAGGGAGTATATATATTATGACTTCAACCACAAGATATTACTTGTACGTTTTTTACTGAATCCACTTTGTCCACAGGGTTTGAAGGAATCTCTAGACTCCAATCACCATGAGCTTATCCAAGACCATTGGGTTCATTAGTGGTGTCAATGAGTGTGTAAATTTATTTCAGTGGGCTAGATCTGCCATTTCATCTCTCCACACTAGATGGAGTGGCACGCAGGATCAAAAGCTTCAGGATGAAGTATTGCAATTGCAGAGTGGCCTGCAACGTCTCAAGGATACTCTTCCAGCAATGTATGATCTTATTGATAGAGCAGAGTGGAGAAGCCATGAAGACTGTGTGGCCAAACTCCTTCCAAATCTCAAGGACGCAGTGTACAATGCTGATGATCTTCTCGATGAGTTCAGATGGTACGAACAAAAGGTGGCACTGGAAGGTAATGCTGCAAGCCAATCTCCTTTTTTGGAATTCTTTGATTGTGTTATTCAAGGAAGATTCAATAAAGTGACTGATATCATTGAAAGGCTAAATAATGTTTCTAGCGAGCTGGAGAAGCTAGGGTTACGTGAAATTCCCCAGCGGTTTGACAAAACATTGAGGCCAGAAACTAGCTCTTTCCCAAGTGATAGAGAAATATACGGTCGTGACAATGAACTGGAGAAAGTGATGGAATTGCTTAGTGTACCTAAAAATTATACTGGTGTTCATTCCAAACGCAAGAGAGGAAGTAATGATGCATCAACAAGCACATCAACATCCAACCAAGTTAGTGTTCCTATTTTGCCGATAGTTGGAATTGGGGGTGTTGGAAAGACCACTTTGGCCCAACATATCTGCAACCACCTATTAGTTAAGTCTCACTTTGACCCAGTAATTTGGATATTCGTCTCAGATGACTTTGATGTCAAGAGATTAACTAAGGAGGCCATAGAATCCGCTTCTGGAAAAGAGGCAAAAACCGATCATTTGGATTCTATTCAGCATGTTCTTCGTGAAAATGTGAAAAATAAGAGGATCTTGATAATACTTGATGATGTATGGGATGATGCCTTAAAGGAAAATGGGCAGTGTTGGAAGAAGTTTTGTTCACCTTTAGCAAATGTATGCCAGGGAAGCATGATGTTAATTACCACTAGATCTTCCAAGGTTTCTAATGCACTCGGGACATTGGAACCCTTCACAGTGAATTGTTTGCAGAATGATATCTTTTGGGATTTCTTCAAATTATGTGCATTTGGGTCTGACAGTTCAAACAATGATCCTGAGTTAGAGTGCATTGGCAGAAGCATACTTCCTAAGTTAAAGGGTTCACCTCTAGCTGCGAAAACTCTTGGACGCTTGTTAAGAATGGACCATCACACGACGCATTGGAAAAATGTACAAAAGAGTGAACTGTGGGAGTTGAAACAAGAGGAGACTGACATTTTGCCAGCTCTTCAGTTGAGCTACATGTACTTACCCTTACATTTGAAGAGATGCTTCTCATTTTGTGCTGTGTACCCAAAGGATTATAATTTTGAAAAAGATAGTTTATGTGAAATTTGGGTAGCTGAAGGCTTTGTGGAACCTGAAGGGGACATTCCAATTCTAGATACGAGCAAAAAGTATTTTGAAGACCTTGTAAGCCGGTCCTTCTTTCAAAAAGTTTATGGTACATATGTAATCCATGATTTGATGCATGATATGGCACAACTAGTTTCAAAGCATGATTGTTTCATCATAAAAGACACAGGCGACTTTCAAAAAGTTCCTCACAATGTTCGCCATTTGATGATACTTGATAGCGAAAAGTTTGATTGTTCCAACTTATTGAGCCTATGCAAGCACACAAAGTTGCGTACTATACTCTGTAACAAGTCTCTATGGCATAAAACTTTAGCTTCTGTAATGGACCATTGGTGTACTGAACTTTGGCAGATACGTGTGTTTTCTTGTGCCTTCCTAAAGGAGATACCAAAGAGTATTGGAAATTTGAAACATCTTCGTTACCTTCAAATCTCTGGATCTTGTCATTTGAACAGTATTCCTCTACAGTTCTGTTGCCTCTACAATTTGCAGTGTTTTAATGCTTTGGAGTGTGTAGTTGAAAGCTTGCCTTGTGACTTTGATAGGTTGATCAATCTGCGGAGATATAAATCACAGGGATTTGTATACGATCGAATGGGACAACTGCATCTCGGTACACATTGGGAACATGAAGTTAGATTGATGAAGAATTTCAACCAATTCTATGGGGATTTGAGGCTATCCAATCTTGGTGCACTAAGTAAGGACCTTGCAGCTGAAATCAAACTAAACAGGAAGAGATATATTGGAAGTCTGACCCTGCAATGGTGCCTATGGATATCACAAGAGCACAATGAGATGGAAGTGTTCCAAGTCCTACATCCTCCCACCAGTCTTAGATCTCTGAAACTCATGTATTATCTAGGGGAATCTCTTCCATGCTGGTTTCAGGAACAAAATGGTTGTAATGAGATAGCAGGAGTAATTGCTAACAACAATAATGGCTGCATTTCTGTTTTCTCATCGCTGACCTACCTCGACATTTCTGATTGTGAAAAGTTATCAAACCTCAACCAGTTCCTGCAGGTAGCTCATGTACCATCCCTCGAAAGAATACGAATATCAAACTGTGGAAGGGTAGCATCAACTCCAAGGTTTGGTGACTTTCATTGCCTGGAAGAACTAATTCTGGATCATTGCAAGATATTTGACCATTCAGAAAGCTTGTCAATACCTTCCCTCAAGAAGCTCGTACTACATTATTCTGGGAATCCAATTAGCAAAATCGAGTGCCGCTCTCTCACATCTCTGTCCTTTGTGTGTCCGAGTGTGACGTCTATTCCCCTACAAGTGTGGAGTAGTAATCTTCCTGCTCTGCAGAATTTAGACATAAAGTGGTGTCCATCTCTTACATTTATTGGAGAATCTGAACCAGCGGACTTCACTAACCTTTCTCACCAAGTGAGCAGCAGCAGCAGCAGAATTAGAACATTCTCATCCCTTACTGTGCTAACCATTCACGGCTGCGAGAAATTGTTGACCCTTGATGATCTCCTGAAACAAGAATATCTACCTTTCATCAAGAGTATTAAGATTTCCTATTGTCAAGGGCTACTGTCCTTGCCCGGTGAAATGTTTGGGTCTTTTCCTTTCCTGAATGATTTGGGCATTTGGAACTGCCCAAGTCTCACTTGGCAGAGGGGATTGGTTTTACCATCATCTCTCCTAGAGCTCAACTTAATTGATTGTGGTTATTTCTCTACATGGCTTCCTAGCTGTTTGGAGAACGTCACTTCCCTGGTTATACTGAGAATAATTAAATGTCGGGGTATAACATATATTACAGATCAAACATTGAGCAGTAATCTTGCCTCACTCCAGGAATTATGCATTGAGGATTGCCCAGACCTTGTTTCAATCGGTAGGGGAAAGTTGATCGCAAAATTAAAGAAGGTGCGTATATTTGAAAGAAGGTAGATTTCATCAGCGTGGCTTCGCTGTTTCCCCATGCGTGGTATGTACGTGTTCTCCCTAAAAATTTTCTTGTTCCACCAATTTCTGTATATGAATTTATAATAAAACTGTTTTAAATATAGTTTTCAACTTTATAATAGCTATTTTATTCGATTGTACCCATGAATAGTAATCACAGAACCATTCAAATTATTCGAAGAAATATTTCTTTTACTTTAGCATAGCACAAGGCATTATGTGATCTCGTGCCTCAAATTTTGAACTACTTTTCCATCTATATCATGAGGAACATGCTGGACAACTTGTTGATGGCGATCAATATATTTTCTCCTACAGAGTTTCAAAGTATAATTTGACCTGCAGCAATTTCTAATACGTTGGATAACAATAGAACTAGAACATTATCCATGTAATTACAAAAGCATATTCAGGGTGTAACCTTCACCATTAATTTCCATTTTAATGTATTTGTAGAACCCAATAAAAATACAATATAGTTAAAAGTAATTTGTAGATGAATCTATATATGTGCCTTTAATGCATCCGAATCCAACCTAAGCTAAATATGTTTTAAAGGTATTGATATGTGAGTCCTCAATTGTTTGACTACATGTATATCGGCCCATATGTCAGTGAGCAGTACTGCACATGCAGTACTGCAAGGAATCTTAATTGATGTATATCCAAGGGTACACATGTGCAGATTAATATGTGAAAATGAACTCTATCCCCCTAAAAAAAAACTGAAACTGTTTCTTTACCTCTATGGAATTATGATAAATTATTTCTTGTTGTAACTTGTGTTAGCTTCGATTTATATACTGATAATGTTTTGTTGTTTATTAATGAAGGGTGGAATGGCTGGCAAGATTGGGTAATGGCTGCAGGAGTACTTGCAAAGAAGGCCATGAGTCCTATTTTCCTCCCTTTGTTGTCCTGCGATTTATTATGGCAAAACAAATTGTTGCAAGGCTGATAATGGTCTCTGAAAGGTTGCTCTCTTGTCCTGACAGTGCGGCATATCCGTTAGCATTTCCCCTTTCTGTTTTAAATAAGTTGGGGAGAAAACATTCATGTCATTTAAAACCTCTGTTAAGTTGTGTGTTTTTGTTTGATTAATCTTTAATCATGCTCGGAGCCTCGGACAACTATACGTTACCAAAGTTTTAATCGCAGTGGTCTACTACGGATATTTTCTGATGTATACCATACTAGTTTTCTCTTGAAATCTTTCCAATATTTTTGTTGTAACAATATGCATATATGGTTGCGTGGTTTTTGCTATGGAACCGTTGTTTCATTAGTGAAAGTACAGAATAGAGATTGACTCAACACAATAATTAGATTGATACAAATATGAAGTATATATAGGCGAACCCTTCCCTTGTCTTCTCAACTGACTTATAGAAACAAAATTGGTAGAGATATTAGAAGGATAGCAAAGAACGAAACAAGTGGTATATGCCAAATTTAGAGATACGCTAACATCCCTATAGTCTTATCATCGCCAAGGCAAACATTGGGATTGGAACGGAACTCCTATAAGACTGTGCTAGGTTAGCCCTTAGTGAAAATATCAGCATATTGCAACGTCATTAGCACATGTAGAACCTGAACCTCTCCAGGAGTAGCATGATGATGAACAAAATGAAGATCAATCTCTACATGCTCATCCAACACAACATGCCCACATCCGCCTCATCACAAAGAAGGTTGAAGCCACAGGAGTGAAACATTACCGACCAATAAGTCTAATACATAGCTTCATGAAGATAATCACAAGTTACCGGCAAACCGACTGGCCTCAAGAATAAGTGATTTGATCTCGAGAAACCAAAGTGCTTTCATTTGCAAAAGAGCAATTCGTGACAATTTTGCATGTTTGTCCGGGGAATGATCCAAAACCTTCACCACTCAAAAGAACCTTCCCTCTTCATCAAGATAGACATCTCAAAAGCCTTTGATTCAGTAAGCTGGCCTTATCTCCTGGAGGTCTTACAAAAATTCAGTTTTGGGACTAAATGGAAAAACTGGATTGCAAACCTCCTCCTCTTCCTCGATCATCTTAAATGGTGCACCTAGGGATCACATCCAACATGCAAGGGGTCTGCCATAAGGCGATCCTCTCTCACTCTTCCTCTTCATCCTGGCCATGGAGCCCCAACAGAAAATGATCAAGGCAGCAGAAGAAACATCAGCCCTCTCTCCCTTCAATGCCAATTACAAAGGTTCAGATGCTCATGTCATGTGAGTATCTTTGTCAAGCCTTCTGTCCATGAGCTGAAAATCCTTGGTGATATTCTTCAGATCTTCGCAGGGGCTTCGGGACTGCACACAAACATCCACAGGACAGAGTTATTTCCAATCACCTGCAATGACACTGACATTACAAGTTTTCCCAACAAAACTGGGATCCTTCCCATGTTGCTACCTGGGACTTCCGCTCCATGTGCAGAAGTTGTGGAAGATTGATTTACTCATATACAATAAATTATATGGGTGTAAATAGGTACAATAACTTGCAAATTGCTTATTCTGGTACAATAACTTGGCTAGTTCATGCAAACCTAGGCCAAACCGATCCACAAGTAAAATTAATCTAACGTTATACATAATGGTGTGTAATTATTGCTACACATCAAAAATTTATACTGTATTATTATTATTATTATTATTATTATTATTATTATTATTATTATTATTATTATTATTATTATTATTATTATTATTATTATTATTATTATTATTCGCATGATATTTTCACCCAGCTCTAAAAATGCCCGATCATAAAAATGCACTTTCGATGGAGTTAGTAGGGACTATACCATGGTTATGTAAAATAAAATTCACCCAGCTCTAAAATAACGAAATTTTGGCTAAATTTTGGTCAAAATTCATGAAAAATCATAAAATTTAGAAAAAATCGAAAAAAAAAAGAACCCATTACACTTCTTCTTGGTCTGTTGCCACAAACCATGGCGAACACCTTCTGCCATCTTCACCACCGCGGTGCAAGAGTCAATGGTCGAGACAGTGAAGATTGGACACCACGACATGGCAAAGATGATCCAGAATTATAATCCTTTGGTGCCTTGATGCCTTACTTAAGAAAAAAGGGGATTTTCTATTGCATTAGGTTGAGGGACGACCATCATGCTTGCCGTCCGCCGCAACAGCACTGTCCGAACATCGCGCTTATGGCTTCAGTTGCGCCCTCCAACAGTAATGCTCTAGACGGCTCGGACAGGAGTGGGCCAAACAGGTCGTTTGGGCTTTCAAACGCTGAGTGCTGATGAACAAAGCATCCACCAAATAGGAATAAGTTCATCCGAGGTACCTCAGCTTGTCAACGAATCAGATTTTCGTCCTTCAACCGAAAAACCGTTGAAAAACCAGATATAGCAGGTCCCTCAACTATTAAAACCGGTGCAAACGAGGTCCCTTGGCGGTTTAGAAGGCGGTTTTGGCTGACATGGCGCCAACGTGACTGGTTTGACTTAGTCTTCGTCCCACGTGGCATTTGACGTGGCGCTTACGTGGCAATTCGAACCTGAAAAATAATAAAAACTGTGGCCCCACGTGTCAGCGACACACACAAAATAATTAAAAATGGTGGGGCCCACGTGGGCCCCACATGTCAGCGTCATCTCCCTTCTTCCCTATCCCCTCTCTCTCTCCTTCCTCATCCTCTTCTCTTCTTCCCTCTCCCTTCTCTTCAACTTCCCTTCCCGGCTTCCCGCAGGCAAGCGAGGCGGGTATTGGAGGTGTACCACGGAGGGCCTTCGGCCAGACCCGCCAAAACCAGAAACGTGGGCAGCAAGCTTAGACCGGAGGCAAGCGGCGAAGGTCGAGAAGAAAACCATATGGGCAAAAGCCACAGGGCAAAAGCTGCGGCTCGGAACTACATGGGTTTCGCTAGGAATGGACCTCGCCGGAGGGCCGCACGGGCGAAGACGGTGAGGCGAAAGCCTCAGCACGAAGGCACGGGCTTCGCCAAACCACCAAAACCCTGCCGTGAGGAGGCCAAGCGGGCTGTTACGTTCTCGGAGGGGATTCGCCAAATAAATGGGCCAAGCCATTTAGCCCAATAGGGGCCCATACATGTAAAGGACAATGTATACCCCCAATAATGTCCCTATCATAAGGGTAACCATATAAATTCCCCTGTAAAGCCTAAACCCTAGAGGAGGGAACCTGTAATAGGGCTATAAATAGCCCCTGTAGGCCATGTAATAGGGCTATAAATTTTCACTAAGCAATACAATTGTTCTTTACTTCCAACTACTTTTGAGAGAACCACGCCTTTCGACGTGACGCAGTTGTCCATTTGACAACAGTGGGCATCGACCTCAGCGAGGCGGCGCCCTAAGCAACCTCGCGCGCCACCGTCGCACTCCACCTTTGAACCGCCGCCTTCCTCCAATGGTCAATCCCCGTTGGCGAGGTCCCCATCGCGCAGTGACTCATCAAGGTGGCAAGCAACGTCGTCACAGGTCCTCGTCGTCGCCGGTCACCTACCAGCCGCTCGACCCCTGGCTCCAATTCTCCGCCGTCCCATCACCACCTCCCTCTCCCGCATCCTCCCCACCTTGATGAACCCTGAGCTCCACTCGAGATACTCACGGTTGTTGTTTGGCCCGATCTTTCGGTGAGTTGTAGATAACTACGATTTGGGAGAAACGTTGACGACCCGACTACAACCGTACTAGACATTGTTGTGTTGCGCCTTAGCGATCGATACACCTCTCCGTGGGTTGTTGATCTTGTCGGTGCAGATCAACCTTATTCCTGTACGCAAATCGAAGAAACAAGCCAGAAAAAGATAAAAGCAATCTGAATTGCAGATAGGAATTGAACACAAATGATAAGTTGGGGTTCCGTAACGAGCAAACCGGCGATCTAACCGATCACAGGATTACACAGAAAACTAGCGAAGCTAAACTTTTATCTAAACAAAACCGCAAAAACCTTGAAGGGGTACCAAGCTATTTATGGAGATGGGAGGACCCTAGGTCGTCCTCCACCTGGTTGGGGCGCACTCCACATGGGCCCCACTTGGGCTGGGGTCCCAGATGAAGTTACAAGCCCATAGGCCCAGTATAGGTGACACAACACCTTGTTTCTGCGATTGCGGCCAAACAAGATGGAATTCGGAGATGATGCTAGATCCGTTGGAAAGAGGACCCCGAGAGCTTTCCATCAAGTACTCACGGACCCAAAACGGAGCTCGTATGCAATTTTGGCGGCCGTTTGAAGGCAGCAATGTAGCGGGTGGCCGAATTGGATTCCAGAACTTGGTCAACTTGATCTTGATGTGAACGACGGTTGTATCTATAGTAGCCATGGTCACATCATCCTCCCCTTCTTCACGGAAAACCGTCCTTGGTTTTTCCATATGGTGCTCTTCGTGTAGTCCATTTAAAACAACATGTTTCTTCCAATTAAAACAAGATAAACTCGAGATAATTTTGTTATCAATAACATTTCTCTCTAGCTTGCATGTTTTATCCACATGTACAGGAGGTTCTAAATCTGAATATATGTAAACTCTATGCTCCAAATATATTCCTCTATAATCAGATTCACCAAATATATGAAAAATAGCACTAGTTGGACATGGCAAATCAGACTTAGCAAATAATTTCTCCTTCAAATTATCGAGCTCACAAAAATCATCAAACTGAACATTACCCAAAGTATTTAAAGAAGATGTCAATTCTCGTTTCTCTATTTCATTAGCAATGTAAACAACATGCTTAAAATCTGCACACAATGAAACACTAGAAACAATATGTTCATTCACTAGTTGTGGCATGGATATAAGTGAAGCATTATCACACAACTCTTCTTTATTACAAGGAACATCAAGTAAATCAACGTGTGACAAAGGCATCTCAACAGTTGGTTCCACTAATGGTTGCTCTTCTCTAGCATGAAAAGTGGACATGTTCAATTCATTAACGGCACACTCACCTTGATTAATTGTAGCACCATTAAGATTACCTGTGGTTCTCTCTTCGGATACTGTAAGTGCATTAGTCTTCTCTTTTTCCTTCGAGAGAGATGGAGACCTTGAAGGGGTACCAAGCTATTTATGGAGATGGGAGACCCTAGGTTGTCCTCCACTTGGTTGGGGCGCACCCCACATGGGCCCCACTTGGGTCGGGGTCTTAGACGAAGTTACAAGCCCATAGGCCCAGTATAGGTGACGCATTACTTTTTTTCTGTGATTGCGGCCAAACGAGATGGAATTCAGAGATGGTGCTAGATCTGTTTGAAAGAGG